AGAGTGGAATGGATGCTGAAAATGCATTAAGATACGGAGAAGTAGGCAATGCCTAGAATAAAATTTCATCACTGGGAATGCACATGCACTGAAAAAGAAACTTGTCTTAGAATGTTTTTAAATTTAAGGGCAAATGAGATGTGAGAAAGGAGACTGATGTGGGATCTGAAGAGAAACAGCAAGCACTGAGCTCTTTCTCCTTTAATCTGGGAACATCCTTACATTAGAAGTAATAATGGAACATCAGGTAAATGGTATCTGTAGTGCTGAGGACAATTTTGATCAATGATGGGGAGATTCTACTTGACTGGCAATGCAGTGGCTTCACAGTGTGTAGTGATTACTTGAGGAGAGACATCTGTAAATTAACTATATTTAAGAAAAAGAAAAGGAGAAATGTAGTTTTGTCTGCATATCTTGAGACAGCTAAGCGTGCCAAAAAAAGAGGATGACATTTTCTTGGCTATTGGAAGATACAGCTTCTCCAGTACTGGCTTATGCTATAGTCATGGGTAGTAGCATGCTGTGTGAAGAAGGAAGAACAAAAAAAGTTTACTTTGCAATCAGAGTTAAGCACCAGTTGAGCATCCATCATGCATTACAGCGTCTGCAATGATGCAGGCTGTGTGGTGCCAGAGCGGAGCCTAGCTCTAAAAAAGTTTTCAGGAAGGCGCAGGTACCATGTCTTCCCTGTATCATTGAGGGAAATTCAGTTTCTTGCTAGATCACACCTGTAAAGGAGGCAAATTCTGATACAGAGCAAGCTGATAGCCACGGTGCTAGAAGGATATTTTTTTTTCCCCATCTCTAATTCACTGTGTGGTGTATATATTGCTCTTTGTTTTATGATATTACTAATTATTCTGTCACGTGGATTGCAGACTGTATTTATGATTTTGGTTTGGAAATTGTTTATTTATCTTAAGGACATAAAAGGGAAGAATTTTGGAAGGAAACAAGTAGAAGAAGATGAGTTTAAGCAGAGCTTAGGGAGGCAGGTAATAATCCTATCTGCAGTCTACCTAGTTTATGAAGATCAAGTTGTGAGTATCTGCTTCATACATCATTGCGAAACAAATTAGGAGCATACTGTTCTTTATTTATCTGTTGTCAGAGATGAAGTATCAAGTGCAGCAAATAAATCTTGATTTTCATAAGCTCAGTTGACGTGCTGGAGCCAGGTAGCATATAACTTGGATCTAATAAGCTGAGCAAATGTGACATGGAAGAGAGAGAAAAAAAATGTGTATGCAGCTTCTCAACTCTATATTACGCATAAACAGTGGAAAAGAGAAACGTTCTTTCTCTCCCACCCTCACCCCCCATAATACCCCTGTCTTCTTAAATTAATGCTGTTTGACTTAAAGCAAAAAAAGCAATCATGATAAAAAGCTCACCTTAATCATGAGTTCAGAAAATTGTATGAATCCCTAAAATACCAAAATACTCCTTTAATCTGTATGGGGTTGTATGTTTGGAAGAGCTCTATGTTTATTAAAGCAGTCTGTCTGGAGCCAGGGTTAAGCACTTCAGGGAGCTCTGCTGGAGAACCAGGTGTCCTGGACATTGTCATACACTGAAAATGTTAAAGCCAGATCTTTGTCAGGGATGCGTGGGCTCAGCGCCTTCAGAAGAGCAAACAAGTCATGGAGGCTGTCCATCATTTGCTTCTCTGGCCAAATGAATGGAGCAGCTTCCTCATCTGCTTCTTCTGAAACACTAGTCTGTCTTGCTTTAATGTACATTTGTGTTTATTGCCGCCTATTTATTTCTTACTTGGTGGACACTGGGGATGGCTCTATAGACTCCAGAATATTGTATGTTTATACTTTGCATGGACAAAAGTATATAACTGTGTATTACGTAAACTGGAAAAATGCAGATTAGCTGAAAAAGTTCAGGACTGCTGAAGAGATGGTATATGATTTGCAAAGAAGCTCACAGAGAAGCATTTTAAATGCAAGACATACCTACAGAAGTAGAATAAATAAAATTTAGTGAGAAGAATTGAAACAGAAGGAAGAGTCAGCCACGGAAACGGCGAGTGTGTGCTTTTATCTAAATCATTTGAGGTATGCTGAAGCAAATCACAGAATCACGGGATCTTAGGAGTTGGAAGGGACCTCGAAAGATCATCCCGTCCAACCCCCCTGCCAGAGCAGGATCACCTAGATCGGGTCACACAGGAATGCGTCCAGGTGGGTTTTGAATGTCTCCAGAGAAGGAGACTCCACAACCTCTCTGGGCAGCCTGGTCCAGTGCTCCATAACCCTTACAGTAAAAAAGTTTTTCCTCATGTTCAGATTGAACCTCTTGTGCTTCAGCTTGCTCCCATTGCCCCTTGTCCTATCATTGGCTGTCACTGAGAAGAGCCTGGCTCCTTCCTCATGACACTCGCCCTTTAGAAATTTGTAAACATGAATGAGGTCACCCCTCAGTCTCCTCCAAGCTAGAGAGACCCGGCTCCCTCAGCCGCTCCTCATAAGGGAGTCGTTCCACTCTCTCAAACATCTTTATGACTCTGCACTGGACTCTTTCAAGCAATTC